TTATGAGTACTATTACTGTTGTTTTTGTTATTATTATTATTATTATTATTATTATTATTATTATTATTATTATTATTATTATTATTAATATTATCATTATTATTATTATTATTATTGATATTATTATTGTTATCATTATTATTATTATTATTATTATTATTATGATTATTATTATTATTATTATTATTATTATTATTATTATTATTATTATTATTATTATTATTATTATTATTATTGTTTTTATTAATTTTAGTACGTGTTTTTTGTTTGGCATTATTATTAATATTGTTATTGTTATTTTTATTACTATCATTCTTACTAATTTTTATATTCTTTCTTTTTATAGTAATATTGTTTTTAGTATTTATAGTAATATTATTTTTAGTTAATATCAGACCTATTTCTTATCTAAGGATTGGAATTGTTGTTTTGTAAATTAGAATTATTACTATAAGTACCTTGGCTAGCTTTAGCCGGCTGAACTGTTTCAATTTAGGATCTACCGTGATGTCTCCGGCCCCACTTGTGACGTCGTGTAAATCTTTTATGAATGCGTTTTGGACTACTTGACTCCTTATGCTCTTCATTAGAAGCCTTAATCGGAGCCGGACGAAACTCCCATTCTTGACGAGACCATTGTATTCCGTAACGATTAACTGAATTTTCGTCAACACGATGATATATTTGTTCAGATTCCAGAATCTCGTCATATATGTTGCACAGTCTTGATGAACTCATGGAAGACTTATTGTTAAAGTTTTTGAAGTTTTTGAAGTTTCAGATAACAAGTTGTTTACAGATTCACTTATATTTTGGTATAGCGCATCGACCTTTACTAACAGTGAGTTTTGATCCGAACAAATACATTCGCCAGTAGCTTGTATTTCCTTAGATGTCGATGACAACTGTCTAACGTAGTGGTTCATAATTTCTTTAAGAGTGTCCTTGAGTTGGAAATTCTGGCTTGCTTGGGCTTTTTGGAAATCTGCCCTAAGTTATTGGATTTTCGCGTTTTGAAGTTCGACCAAATCATTTACGGAAATATTTGTTCGGTCAGAGGACTTAGCCATATCTTCAAAACTAGACGAGTTGCTTGCGATTATTCCCTTTTTTTCATCATCCAGATATTTTATTTGCGATGACACATTGTCTAGGGTTGATCGAAGCGTAGAATGGGTATCCTGGCAATCGTCGCAAATGAACCATCTTTTAAGAGATTGGTGTATTTGACGCTTGCAAAAAGCCCTACATGTGACTTTTTGAGTCATTTGAAACTCTTTTTTGTCAACTCACTCTTAGTTAAAGTTTTTTACCAAGAATACTTTAATTTTTTTTCGATAATATAAAAATTTTGAATAAAAAATTTTTTTTATAAAATTTTATTTCGCAAACGTAGCAAAATGAATATTACTTTAGACCCAAAGTAAAATTTATTTTTAATTTATAGTAAAATAAAAATGCTGATTTTGCAAAATTTCGTCGAAAATAAATTTATTAAAAGTAAGTAATAATCTAATTACGTAATACTTAAATATAATTTGAATTAATTTAATTCAAAATTATTTAATACCGTGAACTACTTTACTATTGTACGACACTTTTACGAATGAAATAATTTGCAATAATTGTTGCAATAATTTATGACTTTAAAATATATTTCAATTCCAATAATTTCTATAAATTAAAGCTAAATATGCATATGAAAACTGTCAATCAAGTAGAAATGATATTGTGATGTGACAGACAATTCAAAAAAAGTAAACAAAGTGTGGAAGAAGAAACTTAATAAAAATTTCTATTTAAAATAAATTTGAAAAAAAAACAATAAATTTGAAATAGTAATACATAAGTAAATTAAAAGCAATGAATTTCACGGAGGATTTCGGTACCGGGATTGAGCTACCGAAAACTTTGCAGATTGGATGTTGGAAAATTGTGCGGATAAACTTGATGATGCCAGAACTCGAAGTTAGTATAAACATACATAATATGTATGTTAATGTGTTAAATTTAATATCTATTTTGTTAAAAAGATTAGCTTTTATGTTTAAGTTTAAAGAATGTAAAATATAATTTTGTAATTATTAAGTAATTTTGCTTTAGGTGGATGTTGTTGATAACTCGCATCATCAACCATGGTCGGGAATTTATTGAATGTTGCATCTTTCAAATGAGTATTTTAATATACTATAAAAGATAATGTTGCTTTGCTGTTTTTAAAATTTTTTATTTTAGATTCAAATACATACATGCGAAGGAATATAATTTGCAAAATCCAAACAGGGGTTTTCCTCCAAAACTTATACACATATTTTAATAAAAATCTTAAAATTAAATATTTTTCTCGAAATAATGGTTTTTAAAAATGTCGACTGTTTTGTATGAATGATTTTTTTTATCCAAAATTAATAAGAGTATAGATTTACATTGCTTAAAATTAACAAAAGTCAAAATTAGTGATAATTTTTAAGTTAATTAAAGTCATTAAAATGTTGTTTCTACATCCAGGAAATATAGTAAACCCTGTACTATAACAGATTTTTAACGGTACAGGAAATATATAGTAAAACTTGTTTAAAGATTTAAAACTCTTTTTTGGAACGGAGGTCAAAAGCAAAAAAATTTTTTACTAAGCAAAAAAATTTCTCCAAATTATCAAAAATCTTAAAATCCCTGTAACTTTGAAATGGTTCCGATTTAACACTATGTTCGGAATAAAAATTTTAAACATTTTCGACAATCTACTATATGATATATCGCTTTTAACTTGTTCCTGATTTACCTTGTTTAGTAATAAATTTCAGAATATGGAATTTAAAAGGAAGAGTTGTCGGAAATTATTTGTTTGAAGGAAATTGTTTAATATTTTTAGCTCTACTGATTTTACATTTTTTTTTAAATTAAAATTTGAATTTCAAAAAAATCGGTTGGTACAATTCATCTAAAAAATGTATTAAAAACAAAAATTTCAATTTTAACACAGCCAACAATTCTTGTCTTCCAAATGGAAGGGCACTGAATTATAGAGTAAAATTTAAAAAGAAATTAAAAAAAAAAGCAAAACAAACAACAACACATTCTAAATCATTTTCAAAACCATACGAAATAAAGTAAGAGTCAGAAAGAATACTCTAAATTTTCACAAAAAAAATTAAAAATATATCAATCGGAATACTTCGAAAACATAAAACTTTAAGAATGGCTTTTGTAATTTTTTCCGATTGCATAATATCGAAAAATGTTTTCAGCTTGGTGGCCTAATAAATATATATGGCATTAGTTTCACTTATAAGAATATAGCCAATATGAAATAAAAAATTGAATATGAAATATATAAAGTAACAAATACAAAACCGAACCCCGGGGTTTTCGTTTATGCACGCTGCGCTGAAATATTTACATTAGGACTAAAATTTCTAGGCTGCAGGGTTAAACAGTATGCAAAAACTTCAGCTAGGTTTTTTTAGTTTGCGCAGTCTACAAATTCTAAAACCTCTAAATAATCAGCCGTTCGAAAATAACATTGTTTATGAAATAGTACCGCAATACTTTTCGCCCTCCAATTCAATGCAAGATATCTTGGATCAGATGCTTTTCTTGGATCAGAAAACGCATAAAGTTTTAAGTAAATCTAAATTCACAACTTTTTTTGTCAAAAATGTACATAGTTGTTAAGTTCTGATAGATAGCAGGTAGATGTTCTTAGCAATTGTTACTTAGTCCATAACTGTGATTTTTGCCTGTTTTAATTTCTAAGTTTTGTCATATTTAAAATTATTATTTAAATTATTAAAAGTTTCATTTTTTTCTTTTTTTTTCAAGAAATAATTTTCGTATAAATAAAATAGTATTTTCTTAAAAATAAAGTTCTCAGTTCTTGGATCTGAAAAAAAAATTTTTTCACTATCAATAAACGATTTAGATGTGAGATACGTCTTATTATTTCTTGTGCTGCTTATTACTTTTTAGCACTTGTCCAAAACTTTTTTGAAAAAAAGTGCTTATTAGTTTCACTTTTTCTCCTAGCGCGGTATACTATAGTTTAAATTTAAAAAAACAAAATAGTCGTTCAAATTTACCGTTATCTAAAGTCCGATTTTTCCAAATTTTTGATGTCGTTTATTTTCTAGACCCCAGCCTCTAAAAGCCTGAAATTTTAAGGGCTTTCAGACACTAACAAATGTTTCATTTCGTTAGAAAAAAAAATTTTTCCACCCCTCTCAAGTTATCGCCTCTTGAAATTTGTAGCTTTTTCAAATTTCTATAAACGCAAAAAGCTGACGGTAAATTCCATGACAGTAAAAAACATAATTATTTTTCTTAATTCACAGAATTAACCCTTAAAATCGAGCATTATGTTAAACCCACTTTTTATTAATTTTTGCTTTATTTCAAAGACTGCATAAATCATTCATCCGAAAATATGCAATCCTAGAAATAGTATCGTATATGAATGAAAATAATTTTAATAGTTTGATAGGTTAGGTATATATAGACTGCATTTTAAAAGCAGTATTTTCACTTGTTGAAGGGAAAAGTGCTACAATAAAAACCATTGGTTTGACCCAACTTTACTTTAATAGTGTAATAGGCATACATAGACTGTATTTAAAAGCAGAATTTTCACTTGTTGAAGGGAAAGTGCTACAATACAAACCATTGGTTTGACCAAACTTTATTATTTATCATGACTTTTTTTCTCTGCATTTCGATTGGGGTTAAAAAAGGGTGTTAATTATGTTTTTGTACTGTTTCTCACAGGAGTTCTAATCAATTTAAATATACGCAATCTATTAATAATATGCAAGTGTCTGCTAATTTAAAATAAATAAATTATAGAACATTGTCGTAAATTAATCGCTCCTCTTCAAGTGTCAATTTCATTATGAGTTAAATTTTGTTTTATCACTTGTACTCTTAAAATGTTTTATACAAAATTAACTTTATAAAATTTTTAAATTATGCTAAAGTAACGTTTTGTAAATATTTTCTCTTCGCAGGTTTGGTTTCAAAACAGAAGAGCTAAATGCAGAAAGCATGAAAACCAACTTCACAAAGGTACAGTTACATAATATTAAAGTATGAATGCATACTTATATATAACCACTTCCAAAATTTAATGACAAGGACAATTTTTCGTACGTACATATTATTGTATTTCTACAAAATATGGCTAGCCATTTTACAATTCTTTTATCCATTTTGTGGTATCTTATGAATATGTTTTAAAAATTTTAAGTGAACTAAAATAGTAACAGAAATTTTAATACATTTATTTTCGATGTTATTTTCAAAGGCTGTCAGCTAAGATTGTTTCTAAAATAATCGCATGTTATATACTAACGAATTATAAATATTAAAGGAAGGAGCATCTTGGAAAAACAATTAAGTCAAATTCTTCTCTTTCAGGCATTGTCAAATTCGTAACAGGAGTTTCTTATTTGTAGTTTTAATATTTATTTATTTGTAATATTTTAAAAAAAAATCAAATTTAACCAAAATACATCAAATTTTTTTTTCTTCGAATAAATTTATTTTATAAATTGTCTGTATGTATTTTAATTCACAGTACTCTTGAATTCTATTATTATACTATTATTATTCACAGTATTCTTGAAAACGAACATATAAGGTTTATAATGAGTATTAGAAATTTTTTTAAAAAATTTCTAATACTCATTATAAACCTTATTTCACATTTTCAATGAAAAACTCTAAATAATAGAATAACTAATAAAAATATACATACATACTCGTATATACATATTATATGTGCTTTAATCACTCTAAAACAGTATTATTTTTAAAAAATTTTATCAATATGATGGTTATTATTCACTGAAGTAGATGATATGTTGACTTATTCTTCCATATTAATTTCTTGAGTTTCACATACTAATTCAATCTAAAACAATACATTTGATAAATGATTTATACTAATATTTTATTTACTGCATTCAAAGGCAACTTCATATTTTTTTTTACGATTAAATTTTCATTCTATTTAGGGTAAAATCAACAACTTCATCAACATCCACACTTAAAAAAAAAAATTAATTCCATACAAATTATGTAAAGCATCTGGCGTTAAAAAAAATTTACTATACATTTTCTTTTTATATTTTGAATCAAAATGTTATGAACATTTTAGTACTATTTGGTAAAATATTTGGAATGAAAACTTCTTCATTAATTATTAAAGTCCACTTACTTTTTATCATTTCTAGGAAAAATTTAATATTAAAAAAGTCCATTTTAAATATTGGGTGTATGGTACATTTTATTGAAGACAAACTAATTTTGCTTGAAAAAAAGCCGCTCCTGGTGTAAATATGTCACCCGAAGTAAATTTAGTTTAGAACAAAACAAACATAAATGTTTTCTTTCCAAAATTAAGTTAATAAATTTACGAATTATGAATTAAACTTAACACTGCTGAACAAATATTTCTTCTAATTATTAAAATAAATAATATTCACATACGTATGATGGAAAACATTAATTTGTTTTTTCATATGGAAACAACCAGAGAAAGGCTATTTTTCTGAGACTATCTTTATAAAGGCTATTTTAGGTGATCAGATCTTTATAAGCGAATGGCTATCATGGAATTCACATCTTCTCAAATGTTACCTAAATCCTATTTGGAGTAAAGCTTCACAAATCTATCTCAAAAATGTTGACGTTTTTGTTAAAAAAAGCAATAAAGGTAATTTATTATTACTCTGTTCTTTATTCAACATTTATAGCAGATAGCTTTATATCATTACATTCAAAATTATTCAATACAAAATAAAGCAAAATTTTTTACTACTGCAAAATTTCAAACTTCACAATCATAACACGTATCTATCTCTTTTTAGAACTAATAAGAGGTTAACCTTATTAATAACATTGCAATAATATTAAAAAAAAAGCAAAAAATAATATCATTTTTTGTTTTAGTTCTTGTTTTACTCATTTAATAATCAATATCATGTTTCTATTGTATTAAATATATGAATGGAAACTTGGAATGAAAGGGAAAGGCTTGTGAATCTCAAAACTAATGATTGTATTTGATATTATTTAGTTTTTATTATTATAATACTTTTAGAATTGGTATTTTAATGCCAACTTATATAATACATGAATTGTAGCCAGATTTGCGATAAAAAGAAATAAGGTACATAAAAAGAGAAAACGAAAAGAAAAATCATGGTAAAAAAAGAAAAAAAATTTATTCGTATTTGTTCGAAAAAATATGTTCGTATTCGTAAGATCACACATAAGGATCTATTGTGCTCCTCTAACACCCACTCCCTACCACGGAGCACGAGGCATGTCCTACAATTCATGGTCGAGGCCCACTATACTGGTGAACTCAATCAACTACCGGAAAACTGTAACTCAGCAGAGAAAAGGCCCTTAGTATTCGTATTCCTCAATGGGCTAGAGTATAGTACTACCGAAGGTGTGGTAAGTCACCTCATCCTCCACAAGGGTCTACACTTCCCAGGCCCAGCCTACTGAGGTACATTCTATGTCTGCAATGACCCGACAAGATCCCAGTGAGAATTTTCACCTGATTCCCTATAATCTTCTTGAATCTCTTCTAGTTATAATTTTCCAAAAACTTCTTAGCCTGCCGCAGCCTCAATACCCTTCCCCAGCGCTAAGATCGCGTCCTCTCTGATTCTTTTCTTAGCCCTCAACACATAGTATATAGTCCGATTCCGCAGAAGGTTTTTAGTGCAAAAAAAGATGTGTTTGCCGCTGCCTTACCGACGCATCAGTTGCCTTATTTCTTTCCACGCCCACAAGCACTGCACCTAGCACAAAGAGACCTTAATGCGCCTACTCAGTTCATAGAAGTTCTCGAGACAGTCTCATACTGCAGCGGAGGATACTGAAAATGAACTCAGCGCCTCGATGGAAGCCCGCGTTTCCAATATAATCAATTATTCGTGTCAAAGATGCCACCTTTTTACACAATTCAATGGCGTGCTACCTCAGCCTGAAACACGCTCGGAAATGTTCCCACAGGATCGAAAATTTTGGTTCTTGTCCCTAACATTCCCGTACCACCTGATGGTGTAAGATTCTACCAGATGGCCTAAAAATTTGTCTTTACCTCGTTCCTTCTATTGCCTAGGAACGATGTAAAGCTGTTTTTGAAGCTGCACTTTCTTATCATGTCATACCTAGGTAGCGCCAGGAGAGGAATCCCCTCGAGAAGACAATCTCAATCGCTTTCCTCATCATTTTAACTCAATTTCGTCCCAATCTCAGAATTACAGCCTTTGCTCCCATTTCGACAAAAACCTGCAAAGTCCCCGTTGGGTGCGTTCTCGTAGCCCCCGTGATGCAGATGTATGCGAGCATCTATCCATCTTCTGCATCTTCTGCAATCGATCCAGGTTCTTTCTAGCTATTCCAAGATCGAATATCTTTCCAGCCTCAGATTTTTTATCCAACAGAAGGAGGTACTCCAGCCTCTTTCTTCTGATGAACGGAACCAGGGTCGCCTTACTAGAGTTAGGTCCAAGATCCGCAGAGCCGAACTGTTTGTCTGGTCTGTCTAGACTATTTCCCGAAAATTCCCCTAGCGATGATAATGATGTAAACAGCATAACGTAAAATTCAAATCCATCATACGGAGTTTTTTTCCCTTGCCTTGCATATCTTCAGGGTGTCCCGCGCCACAGCAGCCTCTACCATTCTCGTAGCTAACATGTTGGACATCCAAAGAGACGTTGTATAATTTACGCCCCCATTCTCCCGGACTCCCGCAATCGGTTTATAAGAAATGTTGGCGAAACCCTCCGAGGTCTAAGAACGAACATAATACCACAAATTTGGGAATCCAGGAGGTGTATATAAGTTTTGCTCACATAAATAAGCTTGCTACTAGGCCTGATTTGAAATATTCTTACGAAATCAGCAAAGAAATATAATTCGTGAATAAATCATAATTCATAACGAATTTGAAATAAAGCTATGCTCAACGATGAAATGATTTTTTTTTTGTTTTATTTGTTTTTATTGTTGATTTTGTTCATGAACTTAAGTACTTAAAAAACCAAAAAAATGTTGCAGAATCTTTCTCAAGAGATACTATTCGAAAAAAAAGAAACATACACAATATGCGTAACAAATCCTATGCATTATTTGGATGAATTCACGTTTACAACTCTGACTGCGAGAGATCTTATCAATTAAAATTGCATTGTAATAAAACTACGAGTAAAACAGCACTACCAACAAAAACTCTGGTATCAACAAGTTTAATTTACGTTCTTACAAACTGAGTTCTCCACTAATTGAGGTTATAAACGCTGAAAAGCATTTTATGCTTTCGATTTGATAGAATATCTTTTGCAATTCTACGGACAAAAACGGAATGATTTTAGCAGCAAACATTAACCGCAAAACGACACACATGTCATGAAACTTATTTGTAGTATAGCTGCAGAAGCAGAAGTATCGCATCGAGAACAAAAACTTGAACAAACCTTTCTTAATTCAATGGAAGCTTCTTCATATAACTGCAGAAGAGCTGGATGACGTAATCAAAGAAACGAGTTAAAGGCAGAAAAATTAAAAAAATTTTCTCCTCGAACTGTACCCGCACCTGTGACCTACCGCTTTCTAGGCGGACCCTCTACTAACTGAACTACAAAGGCATGAAGAAATTACCAACGAATTGCCGAACGAACACACAACCACAAGAACATATTAGTAGACATGTGCCTGTTATGCTAATAACATTACTGAACTGATAATACAACGTGTAGTTTTATAATTAATAGATAAATTTAATACATTAATAATAAATTGGGTGTTGTGCCTATTACAAATCTCTCATCCAGCTTGGATCTATCAGTGCAGAAAGAAAGGAATCCACGCCACGTGTTGCCTTCCTCTCCCCAGGTTTGCCTAGGCGGGACTGACAGCCAAATTAAATACTTTTCAAGGCGTAAATACATAAGTAATATGGAATTACATATGACACAATTGATTTAATAAATGAATGATTAAATTAGTAGCTTTTGACGGAAACTTGAATAGAAATTTTGTATAGTAATGATTTGATTGCGGCTTTAGAAGTGCGAAACGAAGATGACCGTAAACTCGAAGATGTTCGCTCCCGACTCTCTTAAGAATATGAAATAAGCATTATGAAAAGCGGACAAATAAATGAAAAAATCAGCAATCTGCTATCGCTACAAAACAACATAATAAATTGTCAACCTCGTTTTGAATGGAATACTGACAGCGGTTGCACAGCCAACAGTTGCAATAATATAAAGTTGCTTACAAACTTTAAAATGTTTAAACTTTAATATATAAATGAAGATGTTCAATTTGTTGAACTTTTGTTTTAAAAAGTCAACGAAATATCATATAAACTGTTGAGTTCAATAAAAAATAAAGTTGGGTCAAACCAATGGTTTGTATTGTAGCACTTTTCCCTTCAACAAGTGAAAATTCTGCTTTTAAATACAGTCTATGTATAATGTATATCTATTTTTCATATTTTCTATGTATATCTATACAGTCTATGTATATTTATTTCCATTCATATACAAAACTATTTCTAGGATTGCATATATTTAGGATGATGCATACATGCAGTCTTTGAAATAAAGCCAAAATTAATATAAAGAGGGGTTAAGATAATGCTTGATTTTAAGGTTTAATTGTGTGAGTTAACAAAAATAATTATATTTTTAAATATCATGGAATTTATCGTTAATTTTTTGCGTTTATAGAAATTTGAAAAAGCTTGCGGTTTCGGAAATATAAGGTGTCAAAAATTCAAATTTTACAAATTTCAAGGGGCGATAACTTGAGAGGGGGTGGAGATGGAAAAAAATTTTCTTCTAACGAAATGAACTATTTGTTAATGTCTAAAAGTCTCTTATTTCAAGCTTCTACCGGCTGGGGTCTAGAAGAAAAACGACATCAAATTCATTATAATTTTTCAAATCTACATGCAAAAATAATAAAGCCTCATCATCATCATCAAGCATCATCAAAATTGTATGTTCATGAATGACATCAACGTTTAGGGGATAGAAATTTTGATGAGGAGAAATGCAAGCTAATGTTTAAAAGAAAAAATGACAGAGAAGAGTTTCCAAAAGCAATCAGAAAGACCAGAAAAACATCTCATTGACATAGAAAAACATTTAGTTGTCAGGGATGTTTGGGAATTTATGCCAGTAAATTCAACAAGTGGATATTTTAGTTCGTTCATAGAAATACTTAACCATTGTACTTATGTTGAATTTTTGAAAATGGGAGGGCCACAAAAGTTGATAAATTTAGGTCTCCACCTTATTCTTGTAGCTTTTCTTTATTAGCCACATTTCGCTGGCATTCTAGCAAGCCTAAGTCTGCTTTATATGTCTCTTTCAGCACCCCCATCTGAAGTTACTGTACTACCCAGGTAAGAGAACTCGGAGACATCTTCTATGTTCTTATTATTTACTTGTAGAGGGATTGTTGTTCTTGCATAAATTCCTAGAATTTTTGTTTTGTTTATGTTTATACGAAGACTAATTTCAGCAGCGTTTATCAACTTATCTTTGAAATAAATACAACATTTTTGCCTTTAAGACCGTATGAGAATTTTATTTTTATAAGATTTTTAACTCATCACAAAATTTAATAAAACTAAATCAATGATGCACAAGTAAATAAAAATTAGATATTAGACGAAATGACAGTGTACCTGAAAGAGAAAATAATATGAATTAATATGTAAAAAATATAATCAATCCTTTTTTAACAAAAATATATTACGTAATTCACAGGAGTGTTGTTAACTAAGCAAAGCCGACCAACATCAACCCAACTGGAAACTTGCCGCATAACGCCTTATACATACATGCCAACAAGAAAGCTTGCATTTTCACCAAGAGATGTTAACCGATCCCAAATAATGGAACCTAATAGTTTAACTACAAATAATTCTGCTTTTGATGTAAATATTCTTTCAGTAGCACAACAGGTAGTTAAAAATTTAATTAAAATTATAAACTGGTTCTAAAAAAATTTGGTTTTTATAGTACACGTCTGATCTAACTAATAGGAGTTCACTATTTCAATATCCTATAAATTTGGCTGCCCTTGCTGCTGTTCATAAAAAGAATTCCAGTATTGCTGACTTACGCCTGAAAGCAAAAATTCATGCAGAAGCTTTAGGAATTAATGAAACCAATTAATATAACATATTATGTGTAATAAATCTAAATAATGTAAAACTTTAATAAATACGCTTGCTGCCATATTTAATTTATTACTTACATATTATGGATATAAGTATATCTACATTAACAAAAAATTAAGTCATTTTTGTTTAGACCTCTATCCACTGTGATCGGCTCTGATTATAAAAAATGTAAAATAAATGCGGTAATAGTTTGTGACTTTAAATGTTATTTTTGAGGAAGGAGATTCCTTAGAAAAGTGTTAGATATTTTGGCTTTTCATACGCAAGTTGAAACGCTTTTCTACTACAATGTTTTCGTTATCTTTTTATATAAGGTATGCATGTATAATAGGTATGTATTTCTATTTTATTTTTTTTAAACATTTAAGCTAATTTTTTGAATCTCGAAATTTCTATAAAAATGTGTATTTTTTTTGTTCTGCTTCTTTATTTATTTCACTGAATCTGACTTTATTAGTTTTTATACCCGTACGAACGTATGTTCGAAGGGTATACTAAATTTGCCTTACCGTTTGTAACGCTAAGAGATAACGTTGTTAGATATAGACTCAAGTGTATGGTTTTGATCAGCGTCAAATTCTGAGTTGATTTAGCTTTGTCTGTCCGTCCGTCCGTCCGTCCGAACGATAACTCAAAACCTAATTGAGCTAAGTTCACAAAATTTTCACAAATGATTTATTGTAGTAAGTGCCAGAACCCTATTTAAATTGGACATGATCGGGGTACCGGTTCGGGTAGCTGCCATACAACTTCAAAATTCATTTGGCTATATCTCAGAAACTACAAAAGTTATGGTATTGAAATTTCACACAAACAAATATATTAGTAGGGCCAATGTGTCTAATAAAAGTCGTTTAAATTACTTGGCTCCTTCTGGTACCTGCCATACAACTTCAAAAGTTATTTGACTATATTTCAGAAACTATTAAAGCTATAGTATTGAAATTTTACACAAACGAATATATTAGTAGGGCCAATGTATCTCATAAAAGTCGTTGAAATTACTTGGCTCCTTCTGGTACCTGCCATACTACTTCAAAAGTTATTTGACTATATCTCAGAAACTATAAAAGCTGTGATATTGAGATTTCACACAAGTGAATATATTAGTAGGGCCGATGTGCTTGATAAAATTCGCTAAAATTTCTTGGCTCTTTCTGGTAGCTGCCATACAACTTCAATAGTAGTTTGGCACACACAGTATTTTGAAAAACACATAGTACTGAAATTTTGCATAAATTAATATGGTAATACGGCAACTTAAAGTCATAGTCTGCCCCTTAGTTAGTTATGGCACATTAATTATTCGCACATAGGATAACAAATTCGTACGGGTATCACAGAGTTGACAAGGTCAACTCTATTTTTTTTCTCGTTTTTCTATAATTTTAAATTTGCTTTTAGAGTTGCGTAGCAGATATTCGAACTCGTCAAACCACTCCATCAAAACTTCGGGGATTTATCGGACTTGTAATTGGACGTAAGATCGCCAAGTTTTAAGAATCAAGCTTATTATTTTTCCGAATATTTAAAATTTCGTTTTGGAGTTATATGGCATCTATTCGACTCTACCAAGTCATTTCAGTGAAACTTCAGCATATGTTTGAACTACAGTTGGCATATGATTACCATGTTCATAAATCTACTTTTATTATTTTTCCGAATTTATGGAACTAGCATTTTTAGTTGTATGCTAGCTACCCGAACCAGTGCAGTCATTCTGTCAAAATTTCAAAATATATTTAAAATGTAATTGGACATATGTCTTTAAGTTGTACCTCAGTTACCTGAGACAATACAAGCCGATACAACTACAGTAGCAGCAGTATTGGCACAAAAATAATAGCTTGAGTTATCGTGCGAACTAACGGACGGACAGACGGAAATATCTAAATTAACGCAGAATTTTATGCAGAACTAGAATATATATACATGTCCACATCGGAGACGACTCCTTCAAGTAGTTACAAACCTATACCAAAGTTAATATCCCCTCACGACGGTGTATAAGCTGATACACTAACTTAAAAAACTTGATGCTATATTTATGAATTTAGCAGCCGCGACATAAAAAAAATTTAAATTAATATTTTATTAGATTTTAAGTTGAAGTTATACAAAGATTAAATGTTAAATTTTATGAGAAATTAGATATTAGACACTTTGCATAGCTACCTATGCATATAATTGGAAGTATATATCATATTCAGGGTGTGTAACATCTTTTTCTGTTCTTTTCTAGCATTATATGTTTTAATTAAACCATCTTGCTTTAGATTTCGTCTCGCTATGATACCAAATTGTTGTCCATATTCAAATCATTTTCCGCACTTTTATTGACTTTTAAAAAACTCTGATAAACAGCGTGACTGTTTCTCGTCTTATAAGGTCATCAAGCTGATGATTGTAGTTAATCCTGTATGTATTAACGGCCCATAAATTTTTTTTAGTATTCTTTGTTCAAAAATTGATAGTGACTTACAGTTTGATACTCGTAGAGTTCAGCATTTTCCAGGACAGTGTTAATATATTTATACATTAGTTTTTATATATTTTCAGTTTGCTTGCCTTTTTTAGTATCTTCGATTTCAATAACTTCTAGTGCACAAAATAGCATCTATTAGTAGAACTTGTGCGATTTTTAGGGGCTACTGAGCAGTCATTCGTATTGGAAAATATTTAAAATGTGTAACTTTTTCAAATTTGCAATTTCCAACTTCGAAATTTTATATGATTCCTGAAGCTCTCATCTTCACAAAATACTTTATCTTTTGCTTATTTACAGAAACACCTATATTTTCGTTCAATTTTATAGAGATCTCTTTTAGATCTCGGACATTTTTCACCAATATAGCAATATCGTTCGCAAAGGCACAAATTTGGCCAAATCTATTAAAAATTGTTCCTCCTGGATTAACTTCGTACAGTACATAGTGGAGCATTAAGTAAAATATCAGGGATGAGAGTACATCTTACTTAACACCTGATTCTACGCTAAACGACCCAGTTAATTTTCCCTGGATTACAACTTTTATCTTGTGTAGGTGTCTTACAGTGTAATACACACAAATTTTATTAACTTGCAGGATTCTCAGTCTTTATAGAACATTAATTATACCAGTACGAACGTATGTTCGAAGGGTATACTAAATTTGCCTTACCGTTTGTAACGCTAAGAAATAACGGTCTTAGATATAGACTCAAGTATATGTTTTTGATCAGCGTCAAATTCTGAGTTGATTTAGTTTTGTCTGTCCGTCCGTCCCAACGATAACTCAAAAACTAATTAAGCTAAGTTCACCAAATTTGCACAAATGATTTACTATAGTTAGTGCCAGAACCCTGTTTAAATTGGACATGATCGGAGTACCGGTTCGGGAAGCTGCCATACAACTTCAAAATTTATTTGGCTATATCTCAAAAACTATAAAAGCTGTTGTATTGAAATTTCACACAAACGAATATACAGAAGTAGGGCCAATGTGTTAGATAAAAGTCATTGAAATAGCTTGGCTCCTTCTGGTAGTTGTCGTACAACTTCAAAATTTATTTGGCTATATCTCAGAAATTATAAAAGCACACAAGTAAATATATAAGTAGGAACGATGTGCTTGATAAAATTCGTTAAAATTTCTTGGCTCTTTCTGGTAGCTGCCAAACAATTTCAATAGTAGTTTGGGACACGCAGTATTTTGAAAAACACATAGTTTTGGAATTTTGCATAAATTAATATGGTAATACGGCAACTTAAAGTCATAGTCTGTCCCATATTTAGTTATGGCATATTTATTCGAACATAGGATAACAAATCCGTACGGATATCACAGAGTTGACAAGGTCCACTTTCTTTCTTTTCGTTTTTCAATTATATTTTTTGCATATATGGTTAGTAACTTTTAATTGAATAAATTGTTATTCGATTTGTTTAGTAGTTCATAAATGTTATTTCCATCTATTTAAAATATGCTGTTCTTGTAGTAGTATTTTCACATCTTTACTTTTACAGATATTTAATATTGGTTGATAATGCATGGCATAGTTTTATTCTTAATATTTTTGTAAGATTGTTTTGTTTGGTATTTAACATTTTCTTTTATTTTAGATATTTTAATATTCAATGCATTTCTTTTCGTCTTTCTTATGATCTTCCTTTCTACGGATATGCAGATACTTCTAGTATTCGTACCTAGAAATATGCTGCATGTTTAGTTTCAGTGAGAATTCTGCACTGCTCGTCGTACCAATTTATGCTCTTTGATTTTAGTTCAGATCCCAATACTTCAAATGCAGCATCTTTTATCTCTCCTCTAATATCATTCCAATATTCGCAGGGACCTTCAATTTGAGGTAAGTTTTTTATTTTACTTGTGAGCGAATTTTGATATAAATTTTTTATGTTTTCGTCCATAAACTTGCCTATATTCCATTTTACCTTTTTAAAAAAGTTGCTTGAATTTACTTTAGATATTCCTTGCCTAAATTTTACTTTAACCAAGTAGTGGTCAGAGTCAGAATTCGCTCCTCTGTATAATTTTTCATCTATAAATGTGGATTTATGTCACCTGTCAATTAATACATGGTCTATGTGATTTACTCCTCGTTCACTAGGTATTTTCCATGTTTGTTTATGTATTGTTTTACCTTCTTTTTCTTTGCCTTTTCCCACCAACATTACTTGGGGTGGGTCCTTCTTGTACGTGAGCGCAAGGATTATCTGTCCTGCGTTGTCGTTTCTGGAATTTGGTCTTTACGTAGTTCGTTTTTAATATTAAATCACCACGTTGCCTTTGAACGTCCTCGTCCCCTTGGGAGTGTTGGAATATGCAGCAGCTGATTAACTACAAAACTTTCGGGTCTCCGCCTAACATGGCCACACCACCTAAGTCTTGTCTCCTTCAATTTTTCAGACACAGGTGCTATGCCAAAACTGCCCCTGACATATTGATTCCTAATTTTGTCAAGTCTAGTTACTCCAGCAGCCCACCTTAGCATTTTCATTTCATTGGTACTCAGTTTCTGCTCATATGACTTTTTGCTGGTCCAACATTTAGCACCATATAACATTTGCAGGCCTGACAGCTGTTTTAGAAATTTTTCCCTTCGCTTTGATGGGCAAATGGCACAACTAAGTTTAAAAGAAACGGACTTAGAGCCGAGCCTTGGTGTACGCCCATTTTAACTTCGAAGTTCTCACTTAATTCTGCTGGAGTTTTTGCACTGGGGCTAAAGTTGGTATATATATCTTTAAAAGTATCAATGTAGGCTTCCTGAGCTCCCTGTACTCTAGCTCTGTGCCACATTACTTCACGCGATCAAAGGTTTTCTCAAGGTCAATAAATACAAGATGAAGATTTTTATTGTTAGTTCGGTATTTTCCCATCAATATTCTCAGGGTCTGAATATCGTATGTTGTTGATTTGCCAGCAGCGAATCCACATTGATTTTCTGTGATAGATATATATTTGATAAACGCCAATTTGATTATCACTCGTTCCCAAATTTTGAATATGTGAGACATAAGTTTTATCGCTCGATAATTTCCACAATCTCCAACATCGCCTTTGCTTTTATAGCAGGGAATAAGAAAATTCTTTCTCCAAGAACTTGGAATTACGCCTGGGGCTATAATTGTGTTAAATAGTTCGGCCAGCCAATTAATACCTATGTCTCCCAATTTTTTTCCAAACTTCTACTGAAATTTTATCCGGTACAACAACCTTATTACTCTTCATTCGGAGTAAAGCAGCTCTTACTTCTTCTGGCTCTATAAAAGATATCGGCCCAGGTATTGGGTTGAGATGCCCTATGTCTACTCTAGGAGGATCTTCATTTAGTAGTTCTTTATAATATTCTCGCCAACGTAAGCTTATTTCCTTGTTATACGCTAGCAATTGGGCATTCGCATCCTTAATAAATTTTGCGGTTTTAATGTCTATTGTTGCCCTATGGCGTTTGTCGCTATCTTGTAAATATCATTTTTATTTTAGGCGCGTTCAATGTCTTCATAAAATTTATTTTGTGTTTCAGATTTAGCTTTTGCAACAATTCTTTTTGCAAATGCTTTCGCTGTTATATAATCTAAATGATCAGACTCTAGCTTTGTTTTCTGTCACATTTTGAAAACGTTTTTTTTTTAACCGCGGGTTTCACTTCTTCTTTCCACCAAGTGGAATCCTAATTTGTATCGATTGACCCGCTCGCCACACCTAGTCTAATTTTTCGCGATAAACATAACTTTTCAAATTCTTGCCACGTTTCCTCAGCGTTTTGCGTGGTATTATTAATAGATATAAGTACGTGCATTTTTAAACTTTCTGTTAAAGTTTCACCTCTAGAGTTGTTTATATTGTGCATTGTTTTTATTTTGTTTATATTTGTTTACACATTGTTTTATATGGAAAAAATCTGCTTATTCACAAATTGTTTTCTGATGCAAAATTTACAAGACGCATTCCATTTTGATTTGCTTTATCATGAAGTGAATGTGATCCAGCTATTGTTTTAATGAAATTCTCTTTGCCGATATTCGCATTTTAGTCGCCAATAACTACTAAAATATCGCCCCTAGATACTTTGTCACATACTCTGGACAATTTGCCATGGAATAAATCTTTTTCGTCATCTGTACTTGTTTCAGTCGGAGTATGCATTGAAAGTATGGTGATATTTTGAACTTTCCCTTTAATTTAAGTGCGCAGATTCTGTTATTAATGGGTTGAAATGATATAACGGTATGATATAATGATATGATTATAAGAGCCAGCTCCATATAGTCCCGCATTCTCGCTTCCGCTATAATATATGAAGTAATGCCTTTTTCTAACTTCTCCATACTCTTTGCATCTTATTTCCTAAAGGGCTACGATTCCTAGTCTATATTTAATTATTTTGTCCAATATTTAACATTTTTCCTGGTTGTTACTTTGTTATTACATTCCAAGGTCCAGTACATAAATTATTATCATTAATTCGTCGCTGTTGTCGTTGCCGTGTTGATCGATCTTTTATCCGCGGCCTAAGTTCAGGTTCCATGACAATTAAAAATACAGTATAGGATCGTCAACCCTATGACCATGATCACACTCACTAATTAGCTTGAACTCTCCTCATTTGTTCGGTGGTCACCACTTGGAAGTTTAGTGAGCATTTGGTGGTAGCTGTCACAGTTGCGGCACTGGAGTACCTCGAAAAGTAAACACTCACCGCTTACGTACCCGACCAAAGGTGTGTCACATACGGTGGCAAATAATTTTATGTGAAACACCCTGTATTGTTAGCAAACTATTCTTACATACATCATATGTACACTTTTCCAAATTTGAAAATTATAACGCAATCGAGAAAATACTTGACAAAAGAGATTTGTTTGATTTCTTTCCCTGTATTGTAGCATTTATTGAAATCTTAAAAATATTAATGGATTCTGAAAGTCTCTTTTGAAATCATTCTTTTATAGTTGCCAAAATTTTGAATTGTAATTCTCATGTGGTTTTAACAGCAGTGTGTAGTTCAAAATTTAGATCAAAAGAAAACAGTTTACAACATAGTTTAAAAAAAACTAGTTTTGCGAAAAATGCACGCATGAAAAATAAAACAGTTGTTAAAAATGTGTTAAACTTTAAGTAGCAAATGCCATAACTTCTACAAATTGTAAGAAAATTACCAATGATACTCAATTTGTACATCTATTTCTAGTTTTTTTATATTGTACTTTCATATTGTTTTTTCCTATATCTACGAGTACACATAGTATTTAGGTTATATAACGCAATTTTGGAATAACATTATTTTTGTATTATGTATGTATGCATATCATCGCCCAAATAAGAATTATGGTCCACCGGCCAATTTTGTCATTTTAGACCTACGCAATGGTTTTTATATTTCATGGGATGATTAATCTTATCGTAATCAAATTTGGTCTGAGGGTTGTAATTTTGAAGATTTCATTGAGACATTTTCTCAATGAAAAAATTTGCGTTTTGTTCAATAAATAATGTTCAGTGAAACAAAATACAAAATTGGTTTGCACAACGTACAATTCTGTGACAAAATGCTTATCGTGTTTATGTTAAGAATAAACAAGTAAAAACGTTTCAGTCGGTATAAACCGATTGAATTATACCCTGCACCTCTCGTTATTGTGTAGCAATTACTCGAACCTATGAGATCATTCTATAGAAACTTCACGGACATGTCTGACCTATAATTGGATATCCGACTGCCAAGTTTCATCAATCTGACCTTATAATTTTTCACAATATTTAAAATTAGCTTTTGGAGTTGTATGGTAAGTACCTAAACCTGTCAAGCAATTCCATCAAAACTTCACAAATATATCTGATCTATAATCGGACACACAACTGCCAAGTTTCATGAATCTGACTTTATTATTTTTCCAAATATTAAGAATAAGCTTTTAGACTTGTATGGGATCTACTCGAACCTGTTAAGCAATTCCACCACAACTTCAGAAATATGTCTGATCCATAATTGAACACATGACTGCCAAGTTTCATGAATCTGACTTTATTATTTTTCCAAATATTAAGAATAAGCTTTTAGACTTGTATGGGAGCTACTCGAACCTGTCAAGCAATCGCACCAAAACTTTAGAAATATGTCTGACCCGTAATTGGACACACGACTGCCAAGTCTCATAAATCTAACTTTTTTATTTTTTCAAATATTTAAAGTAAGCTTTTGGACTTGTATGGGAGCTACTCGAACCTGTTAAGCAATTCCACCAGAACTTCAGAAATATGTCTGATCTATAATCGGACACACAACTGCCAAGTTTCATGAATCTGACTTTATTATTTTTCCAAATATTTAAAACTAGCTTCTGGAGTTGTATGGCAGGTACCAGAACCTGTCAAGCAATTCCTCCAAAACTTCGGAAATATATTTGACCTATAATTGGACACATGACTGCCAAGTTTCATGAATCCGACTTTATTATTTTGCCGAATATAAAAAATTTACTGTTGGAGTTGTATGGCAGCCACCCGAACCGGTGCAGCTATCCCATTATAATTTTTAGAGCATGTGTAGAATTGGACACATGTATACAAAATTTTATATTTATAGCTTTATTAGTTTTTGAAATATTTAAAATAAACTCTTGGAGTTGTATGGCAGCTACCCGAACCCGTTGTCCGACTTAGTCCAATAACAATAGGGTTCGTCCTTGGCACAAAAGAAAAAACTTGTGAAAGTTTGGTGTCGATTGCATTATTGGTTTTTGAGTTATCGTGCGATCGGACGGACGGACGGACGGACATGTCTAAATCGACGCAGAATTTTACGCTGAGCAAGAATATATATATATGTCCATACCGCAGATGACTCCTTCAAGTAGTTACAAACTCCATACCAAAGTTAATATACCCTTCACGAAGTGCAGGGTATAAAAACACATTACTGCAACTTATTATTAAACAAAACATGTTTGTTGTGTTACATGCATGTCATGTCGTATTCTAATTCAGAAAATACATTAATGTAATTTTTTTATTTCAAAATTTCTGATTATGGTATTTCTTAAATAAAATAAAGTGTGTATAATACAATATGTGATGTGTAAGGATATATACATATAATACATACATACATACAGTCGGTTCGGTTTATAAGCACATCGAACACTCCACGAATTTTCGTTTCGTATATCCGATTTTTCTTATAACCAAATACCTGATTATAAGCACATGCAAAGTATATCTATTTTATAAATAATTCAACTCTGCCTTTACGCCACGATAATGCAATCATTCACTAATATTTTAATACAAAAATTTTCTTTAGCTAAAAGAGTTACATAAGAAGTATACCTTCTTATTTTCAATTTTATAAACATAGGAAATTTTGAAAAAGAGAAAGAGTACGCAATATATGTCTACCTATTTTTTTTTAATGCATTTTTGAAGGTGCGAATTCCTTTCTGTAATATAATTTATATAATATAATTAAAAAAAAAAATTAAAATAAATTATGCAAATACAAAAATTTTGAAACAAAATTTTAAATTTGAAGCTAACAATTGGTGGTTTTCGTTTATGCACACTGCGCCAAAAGTTCTACATTGGAACTAAAATTTCTAAGCCGCAGCGTTAAGCAGTATGGAAAAACTTCAACTTGGTTTTTCTAGTTTACGCAGTCTACAAATTCTGAAACTTCTAAATAATCAGTCATTCGGAAACAACAGAAATGGCATTGTTTATGAAATAGTACCGCAATACTTTTCACCCTCCAATTCACTGCAAAATATGGTAATTTGAAACTTAAAGAAAACTAACTTTAATAATCCTTCAATATCTGCCATTTTGAAATTTAAAATTTTTTTGAATTTTAAATTTGAAAAAAAAAAAAGTTTCAGGAGGCAGTGACAAAATTTGAAATAGAAGTCTGCGCTACATTTCTGACATTTCTTTATTAAAGATTGAATTTTCGAACGCACTTTATTGCAGCCAGTAATTTTCGAACGATCTATATTTTTAGTGTATGTAGCGTGAATTTTCGAACGTGCTACTAACTAGAACTATTCTAGAACTGAATAAACGAATACCACCATTCTCAATACATTTAATAAATATAAATTATGAATTTTTTTATTTCAATCTTGTCTCTACAAATTTTAAACACATATTTCCTATGAATATATGTATGTACATGTACACATATTGGTAATATATTTCGTAAAGCATTCACATTTTTATACCGGTACGAAGATATGTTCGAAGGGTGTAATAAATTAATCTTACTGTTGGCAAAGTTAGAAAATAATGGCTTGAGATATAGACTTAAGAATATGTTTTTAGTCAATATTGAATTCTGAGTGAATTTAACATTGTTTATCCGTTTGTCCCTCCGTCCGCCGATTTTCTTTTATTTTAATAGTGAAATTCAGCAAAAATTTTTAACAGTGTGCCACAACTTGTTCTAACATACATACATAATGCAAAAATACATTTTATTTTAGTTTTATGCTTGAAAAGTTATGTTTTTAGCACTTTTCCAAAAAAATTTTGAAAAAAAGTGCTTATTAGTTTCACTCTGTCCGTCCGTCCGTCCGTCCATCCGTCTGTCCGTGTGTCTGTTTACAAAACTTCTACATTCTTAAAGATAGAAAGCTGAAATTTAATATGTACATAGATCTTTACTAGAAACTTATTTTCGTACAACAAAATTTTTACCTATCTCCCCCCCTCTAGAAGTTATACCCCCCCAAAGCACTAAAAATGGCTTATTTTAACTATTTGTTGCAATGAAACCATAAGCATTTTTGAAATTTTTCAAACGCAGAAAGGCAGTGGATTGCTTCCCCTACCGCGGTATACTATAGTTAAATTTTAGAAAAACAAAATGGCCGTTAAAATTTACCGTTATCTAAAGTCCTTTTTTTCCAAATTTTTGATGTCGCTTTTCTTCTAGACCCCAGCATGTAGAAGCTTGAAATTTTAAGCGCTTTTAGACATTAACAAGTAGTTCATTTTGTTAGAATAAAATTTTTTTCCATCTCCACCCCCTCTCAAGTTATGGCCTCTTGAAATTTGTAAAATTTGAGTTTTTGACACCTTATATTTCCGAAACCGCAAGCATTTTCAAATTTCTATAAACACAAGAAGCTAAAGGTAAATTCCATGACATTAAAAAATATAATTATTTTTCTTAACTCACACAATTAACCCTTAAAATCGAGCATTATGTTAACCACACTTTATATTAATTTTTGCTTTATTTCAAAGACTGCATAAATGGTTCATCCTAAATATATGCAATCCTAGAAATAGTTTTGTATATGAATGGAAATAATTTTAATAGTGTGGTGGATATACATAGACTATTTTTAAAATCAGAATTTTCACTTGTTGAAGGGAAAAGTGCTGCAATACAAACCATTGGTTTGACCCAACTTTTTATTTTATATGAGCTATTATATGGCGTTTTGTAATTTAATGCAATTGAAATAAACATAACCAAGATGAACTGATTTTTTTACAAACTAGTTGAGTAGTATAATTGCGAAATTAAAAGTTGCATGTCTGCCTGAACCTTTCATTAAAAGTTAATTCATAAAACTTTTGCTTCCACATGAAATTGCTTTTTTGTGTGAGCATTCTATCGGCGTGTGTTAAATGAATTTTGAGTGAATATTTTCATGGAACTTTATTCGTGGAGAAGTAATTTTCCTAAATCAGGATCTTTGTGTGAATAAAATTTATGAAAATATAATTTATATCGCGTTAACTCCGCTTTGCGTAAAATTAAACATCATCGTTTCATCAAAAATATCCTCGTTGGGTTTTCTTAAAGGCTTGGATTAGTATTTTTGTTTTCTATGATAACTTTGGTATTTAAATTTAACATTTTAAATAGGGTTATAATTATGATTAAAAAAGTTATTATAATAAGAATTATTTAAAAATTTATTGATGCTAATATCTTAATCTAATAATTTCATATATTTTTCACATATTTGGAAGTTTTTTTAATACTTCAAAAAATAATAACTTCTAACAGGGAGAGGAGAAGATAACAGGGAGAGGTTTGAATTGATTTATCTCTTCTGAGACGCTGATTTAATTTTTATTGTGATATCATAATGTTGGATGATAAACTGCTTTCTTGAGATTTGTATAGTCTTTGCCAATAGAAGTTATACACTTAAATTGGTTAAGAAAAAATGCATCAGACAAAATTTCCATAACCTCTAGAAGATGTTGTCTGCAATTTGAAAAAACGGATTGGTGAAAACTATGCATAGTTGCTGGAAGTTCTGGTAAGAAATTGCGAGATTTGTGTTAATATGAAAAATACTAGCTATTTGCGTTAATATTAAAGTATCTGTTAAATAAATAAATATTTTAGTATTAATACAAGTTTATCACCAAAATAAAAAAGAAAAAAAAATCTTAATTATGGCGACACCATTATGTCGAATATGTACAGCTACTGTAAATGGAAAATCGAAAGTTTACAATGTGTGGGTGTTTGTAATTAGTTTTTCATAACACATGCATTAAAATAACTGATAAAGTATTTAATGATTAAATGCTTTTCTTCTGCTAGATGAAAAACTCTGGAAAGACGAAGAAGAACGGCGCTACTTGCCCTATTCCTTTGACAGTGGAAAAGCGTGACTCCTACCCTAAAAATCACCTGAATTCTGAACGGATAAAACTGGTCCTGCAGACCAACTATTACCTCTGCGCTAAATCGGAAACGTGCGCTAAATGTGTTAAATCGGAAGGTCACAACACCTAATTTCATCTACAACCTTCTTCTTCTTCTTATAGCGTTACAGCCCTTGATGACCTTTAGCCTTCTTCACTATTTCCCTCCAATTTGGTCTATCTCTTGCAGTCGTCCTCCAGTTTATAATTTCTAATTTTCTCGCATCGAATTCTATGTCATCTAACCATCTATTTCTTGGTCGTCCTCTTGCTCTTGTTAGCAGTGTTCTTGCATTTAGTATTTGTATTTGATCTCTGTTTTCGGGCATTCTTATGACATGTCCGGCCCATCTTAATCGTTGGGATTTTATAAACTTTACTATGTCTTCGTTCTGTGTAAGTGCATATAATTCATCGTTAAATCTTCTTCTGTACTCATTATTGCTTAGTCTAATTGGTCCATATATTTGTCGTAATATTTTTCTTTCAAATCTGAGAAGATAGTTTTCGTCATTTGATGTTAAGGACCACGTCTCACAGCCATATGTTATTACTGGTCGAATGAGCGTTTTGTAAACGTTATATTTCGTTTTTCTCGATAGCAGATTTGACTTCATTAGTTTTTTGTGTGCATAGTAACATCTGTTACCCGCCTGAAGCCTTTCTTGTATGCAATTTCGCATACTGTTATCATTGCACAATAGAACACCAAGATATTTAAATTTTTCGATTCCCTGAATTTCCAACTCGTCAATTTTTATATTCTCAGGTTGCCGTCGTCGCTCATTTCTTGACAATTTAAGATATTTCGTCTTTGTTTCATTTATATGCATACCAACTTTTATTACTTCTGCTTTTAGCTCTTTAAATACCTGCGCCATTATATTGTAATTTTTGCCAATGATTGCTAAATCATCTGCATATGCCAGTATTTTATGAGACCTGACAAAAATGTTGCCTCCTTTGTCAATGTCTCTAATTGCATAGTGTAAAACCATATTAAAGATTAAAGCGGAAAGTGCATCCCCTTGTCGTACACCACTATTTATTTGGAATGATTCCGATATTGCACCTTGTATCAAAACTTTGCTCGTAGAAAACTTCATTGTCATGTTTATTAAATTGATCAGTTTTTTTGGTACACCTAGGAATGCCAGGGCCGTTGAGATTTTCGTTCTGTCAATACTATCAAAAGCTTGTTTAAAATCGATAAATATAATGTGTAGGTCTACATTGTACTCATAGCTTTTTTCCATAATTTGTTTCATTAGGAAAATTTGATCAATTGTAGATCTTTGACACCTGAATCCACACTGATACTCTCCTATCTGTTCTTCATAAAATCCGATCATATATTATGTTTGGTTTTATCCGATCATATATTATGTTTGACAGAATTTTATAACAACAGTTTAGTAGTGTGATGCCCCTGTAGTTCTGGCACTCTAATTTGTCTCCTTTTTTATGTATGGGACATATTAAACCTACATTCCACTTATACGGCATGATTTCGTCGTTCCAAATTTTACATATTATGTATAATAATTTATGGGAGAGCGACTCTCCGCCATTTTTCAGTAATTCTGCCGTAATTTTGTCTTCCCCTGGTGCCTTGTTGTTCTTAAGCTTGCTTATAGCACTTCGCACCTCGTCTATGGATGGTGCTGGTGTTTCTGGTTCTACTGTGTATATTAGGGGATCGTTTTCATCATTTGCTATTTCATTCTGTACGTATAACATTTCTTTATAATATTCTTTCCATCGGTTCATTATGCTTTCGTCTTCAGTTACTATGTTATTATTTTTGTCTTTGCATGCACTTAATCTAGGTTGGTATCCATGAATTTCTTTTCTTATGTTTTCGTAAAAGTTTCTCGCATTGTTGCGTCTTTGTTCCTCTTCTATTTTCAGTATTTTGTTTTTTATGGCAGTCTTCTTTTTCCTTTTACATATTTTTGTTGCTATTTTTCTTTTTTCGATATATATATTTCTATTAGCTCTCGTATTAGTTTGTATCATTTTTTTTCTGGCTTTGTTCTTTTCTTCTATTGCTGTTTCACATTCTGAGTCAAACCAATTTGCGTTTCTTTGGTTAGCCTTTATACCGATTACTTCTCTCGCAGCAGAGATAATACTATTTTCTATTTCGTTCCACTCCTCGTCGATGGTTTGATTGTGTCCCTCGAGCGTATGAAGTTGTAAATATATCGTGTTTTGGTATTCTTGTAGTATGTTGTTATCCTTTAGTTTATCACTATCCCACTTAGTTCTTTTTGCACCTCGTTTTTTCGCTACGTTTGCTATTCGTTGTCGTAAAGCTGCGCCAACGAGATAGTGATCGCTGTCAGCGTTCGCACCACGGTAGCTTCTGACATTTATTATAGAAGAGCTCCATCTGCTTGATATGAGTACATGATCAATTTGATTTGTAGAGTTTGTGCCAGGTATTCTCCATGTACCTTTATATATATCTTTTCGCTGAAAAGATGTACTTTTTATTCTGAGTTGATGCTCTTCGGCGAACTGGCATAAGCGCATACCATTATCATTTGACGATTGATGAAGCGAGAACCTACCAGCTATTTTTTGAATATGATCTTCTCTTCCAATCTTAGCGTTAAAATCACCCATGAGTATCAGTGTGTCGTAACTACTCATTGTTTCGCATAAATTACTGAGATTTTCATAAAAGTTTTCCTTTTCTTCTTCGTCGGCATTTTCAGTTGGTGCATAGGCTGATATAATTGATATATTGTTAAATTTACCTTTTATTCTTATACAACTCATTCTTTCGTTGATTGGAGTAAACCCCAGAATGCATTTCTGAATTCTGTTGTTAACAATAAACCCAGTGCCGTATAAACCGGTTCTTCTTGTATGGCCACTATAGTGGAAGGTATATTGGCTTTTTTTAATTGTTCCATTCCCTTGCCACCTTACTTCTTGGAGAGCTAATATATCGATGCCATATTTTAATGTTTCTCTAGCAATTTCTTGCATCTTTCCTGCTTGTAGTAATGTTTGTATATTCCAAGTTGCTAGTCTTAAATCATAATCCTTTGTACTATTCCTGGTCATTATTCCGTTATTTCCATTATTTATGTAATTTATCCGAGGCATCTGTGAAGAATTCGTAACTGCTGTTTTTTCTGAAGGGGTTCGTTAGACCACTGCCAACCCCCAATTAGGAGGACCGAAGCACTTGCGATTTTAGTGTAAAATACTACCTGATGGTATTATTTTACCTTCCAGCGGCCACCACGGGGAGGTAACGCAAGTACTTGACTAGGGATTAAACAGTTGCAGCGCTGGGTCAGCGACCGGTCAGTGCCTACCCTGTTTATCCTTGCCCAGACCGCCCATCTACAACCAAAAGGTTTAATATATCCTTGTGGATGCCACTGTTGCGTATATACCATGGCGCATTTATCATGCCCCGGAGAACTTTATTCTGAAAGGTTTGAATTTTGTTAATGTGAGTTTTCTTAGCAAAACTACGTCACAGTTTAATGCCATATAGCCTAATTGGTTTAATGATTTGGCTACAAATCAAAACTTTATTATCAGTTGCCAAATTGGACTTACGACCTAGGAGCCAATAATTTTCTCTATATTTATTTTTTAATTCTATGTGTTTCTTTTTTATATGCCTTTTCCACCTTAGCTTGACATATAAGGTCATTCCTAGGTATTTTGTTGAATTATGGCTTACTTATGGATTCACTATTTTTCGATTGATAAAGTTTATGTGAACCGATTTTGCTTCATTCAACTTCATTTTCTAGTCTTTAGTCCACTGGCTTATTTTGTAACTTACCTCTTGTAATTTTTTTGTCGAATTGTCAATGTTCGATCCTACTTCCAATATTGCGAAAGTGGCTGCCGTAGCATTTTCTATTTGTGATAGATCACTCCTGTAAAGCAAGTAAAACGTTGGGCCCAATATACTGCTTTGAGGCACACCTGCTCTTATTTCTCTTAGCGTGAAATATTCCGCGTCTTGTTTAATTCTAAATAATGTATCAGCTAAGTAAGATTCCAAAACTACTACAAATGATGATAGTATTATTTGTCTTAACTTAAATATAAAATGGGCCTGTAAGACTTTGTTTCTCTTAAGGATTTCCTGGGTTAAGGCACCATAATTACTTCTGCGACTTTCCAAGCACAAGGAACATACTCAAAATCTATAGCTCCATTCATGATTTTCATCAAATGTTTCTATGCCTCGTCTGGCAGCTTTTCCAGTACTTTCGCAGTAATAGGATCAAAACCTGGCGATTTTTTCAACTTCAGGGATCTTATTTCTTCCGCAATTTCTACTTGAGTAAGTGGAGTTATGCTGCATGCTTCATTTACGATAGATTCTACTAAACTCACATTTGGTGTTATTCCGTTTGGTGTGAATATGCTTCTTAAGCGATCAACAAATAATCCGGTTCTCTCTCTATTACTCCTCCCCAACCACCACTTGCTTTTATCAGTGACAGAGCGTGCTTAATCGGTCTCTTTTTGCGCTTTGCCACCTTCCATAAGGAATAATTCGTGTCCTTCGTAGCTGACAAGTTATTTATATAATTTTTATATGTTGCCGATTTAAATTCTTGGAATTTTCTTTTAAGCAACTGGGAAAGTTTGTTTAAAACGGTTTTATCATCTGAGGGACGCGAATTTTACCATCTACGCCTGTCCCTTCTATTTTCACCTAGTAACTCTAGAGCTATCAACAGTTGTTATATACCTATTTCTACCAAACCGGTCAAAATGACCGGTTTGATACTTAGTTAATGTAATATGAAAATTAAAAGAAGAGTTTGAAAGAACATAAAATATATTTCATTCTAACATTGCAGGTTCATAAAATATTTACTATCTAGAGAAAAATGAGTAATATTATTTGTTTCATATTATTTATTATTAATATCACCACATTTTTTACATATAATTAGTTTTTTAATGTGCATTTCCCACAAACATGTTTTTTACAACCAGCACATGTATTAATAGTTTTATTTTCATTACAGAAACCTATTTAGTAAGTTTTTCGTATACTACAGATCTCCGGAATCGTCAAGAGGTCATTCAAGTTTTGCAGTTCAGATGGATCTTTACGCTCTGTGGAAAGTTCTTCTGCTAATTGAAACAAAAAATCTTTTCTTGATATATTTTCGCCAGTTGTCTCCTTGTATAAAACCCATGCATTTATTGCCGCTAAATCGAGAATGTTAAAAAACACTTGAAGAGGCCATCTTCGAGATCCTGATTTTACACTATGCTTTCTGGCCATTTGATCCGTCATATTTACTGCGCAATTTGTTTATTATAAAATGCGATAGTTTCAGGCATTGAGACAGAAGTATGTTTGGTACTTAGAAGAAGTACTTTTTTGGTTGCCTTGTTTTTATATATTGTCAAAGTACAGTTATCTGTTTTATAAATTTGAGATGAAAATCGAGGTAAATTATCCGTTTTTTGTTTAGCCAGTTCCGGTAATTCTCTTTTATTACCACGAATAGTTCCAACCGTACGTTTAGTACGTTTTTCCAATAATTTTAGTGCCAGTGATTTGCTGGTAAAAAAATTATCAGTGGTAACATTTCTTCCAGCACCGGCATATTGTTCAATTAATTTCAGTACAACAAACTCACTCAAAGGAATTGATGACTGTCTTGTTTCGTCCTTCCCCAGATAGGGGAATACATTTATAATATATTTAGTTTGGAGATCAGATGCCAACCAAAATTTTATTCCGAACTTATTTGGTTTATTTGGCATGTATTGCGTGAATAGGCATCTTGCTTTGGTTGGGAATAATTGTTCGTTGATTGTAATGTTTGGTCCCGGTACATAACAATTCTGGCTATTTTTAATGAAGGAATTCCAAACGTGTGAGATTAAAACAAATTTATCTGTTTGTAATCTTACACTCCGTTCATTTTTTTATCAAATCGGATAAATCTTAAAATACCTGTTAACTCTCTTCTATTCATTGTGTTTCTAAAACATTTTTCAGACCACAAGTACGATAATTTTAAATTTTTAGCATATAAAATTGCAAGAAAATCGTAAAACTTTTCTTGAGATAGATCCGATTTTTCACCACGAACTCGATAAGCTTCAACTTTTGTGGGTATTCTAATATGATCTATAATTTGGCGATTGATTTTCAATAAAAATGCACTACTTACTTCACTATGTTACGTTTTGCATATGCTGTAGGTCCAATTACTCCTCTGAATATAGTATTTATTGATCTTTTTCCTGGATTGGATCCAGCTTTTATTTTAGTCCAAATAGTTCCATCATTTGCAATTTCAGTTTGTTGACAGTCACTTTCATCCGAAGAAGACGACAATCTCAAAATTCTTCTTCTCCTACGTGCATTTAGCATGTTCTCTTCTTCACTATTGCTGTCTGAGGAAACACACACATCTTTTATTTCTGATTGATCCTCTTAAATATCTGCAGGATAAAAATTATCTTCGGTGTCCGAAAGGTCTTCTCTTATATTGGTTATGTCCTCTAAGAGTCTAGGTATTTTCGAACATCTCGACATTTTTAGGGTAAAGTTTTATAACTGGATAAAAATATTCTAAATATTCCCTTTTTATAATAAAATATATACTACTTTCAGTAATTCCTTGAAGTTTTTCTAATTTTTTCACATCGAAAACGTTAAAAATAATGACTGGCAATTTTGCCCGATTGGTATATATCGGTATAGTACATACGTATATCAACAAGTTGGAAGTGGAAATTCAAAATAATTTAATATATTATTAAATACATAATTTTAGAAAAAGTCGTACTATTCTCATAAAATATTAAATGAAATTCAAGGAGAAAATCTTGTGAAATAGTCATACAACCGGTCATTTTGACCGGTCGGTAGTTCTAGGTAATTCCTTTAGGATACCTATTTGCTGTCAGTTTGTACTTTTCTTTTTGTACTGTTTCATGCAGCTTTTTGTATGATTTTAATAAATTCTTCTAACTCAAGATCTAATTATTGTTCTCTTAATTGTATATTAATATATACGCCAATATTTTTTATTATTTCATATTTAAAGCTCGTCCAATCTGTAGTGCTATTTGGCAAAGCGGGTTTACACAATGTTCTATCTATTTTGTCATTTAGTTTTAATATGACAGTAGAGTGATCTGGACAAAATCATAATTATCTTCAAGGCTTAGAAAGTTTCCTGATATTTTTGTGGTTATAAAAAAGTCAATAGCATCAAGAATCTTTTTAATGTCAGTAGGCTAATAAGTAGAAGCACCAGGGGTTTGATAGCAACAACCTAGTTCTTGAATAACTTTCCTAGCTCTATTCCTCTGGTGATTCTAGAAGCTCAATCTGTAGGCTTGGCATTATAGCCACCTCCTATCAGATATATATTTCCATGTTTGTACAAGTGATCTTTAAAATTATTTTTATAATACTGAAATTTAGTGGACAATATATAGTCCTGTTTAGTAGATTTCACTTTCATCGAAATAATCTGAATTTCAGCTATTTCTATCTTGAATTCATTATGTTCTATACTTTCTTTTATTAGTATTGCACTATCTCTTCTCGCCTGATTGCTGGGATGTACCGGTTTATGGCAATCATAATCTTTTATTTTAAGGCCGGTATTATATGTCAAATGAGCTTCCGACAAACAAATATCTAAATATCTCGTTTTGAGAAAGATTTGTAGTTCTTGTTCCTTATTAAGAACACGATTAGCATTCGAAGTTACTATTTCATTTACGAACATCTTTTCTAAATTTCTTTGGTGTCCCCGTATACACCTAAGTGAATCTATTTTCTATTTTTAATAATATCTTAGAGATCTTGTCAATTCTAATCAACATACTATTATTTGCATAACGTCTTTGAAGCGCATGTGAATATGGTACTCCCTTTAGCACTTTGCTAGGTGTTGTAATTCTGGCTATTTTTGGAGCTCTTTGCTCATTACGTTTAATTTGTTTGGATATATTCTTTTTAATCTTCTTTTTTTGCAGTTCTTTTGCAACCAAAAACCGCGATAGCTAATAGGGTGTGCCTCATTGCAGTTCGCACAGTTGGG